TAACTTCAGGTCTCAAGTGTTGTGTCACGACGACGTAAAGCCAGCCACACGGCATAATAAATTTGCTGAGCGAACTGCACCATGCTCATATTTTGGCCCAGCATCATCCTTGCTAATGGAGCGGTTTGGCTTCAACAATCGGAGCCACGGTAAAGAAGAGAGACTCGCTGCTCTGAGGCTGTTTCATCTGGGGCATTAGCAACCCCACTTTGCTGACATGACTCCTAGAATTTTCTGACCACTCACTGAAAAATGTAGTGAAAGCAGTGCTGGTATTTCTCCGATGAGGCTGCCATGGTGTGTATACAAGTTATCATTATCTCATCACAACCAGCGCACAAAAGTATGTTCCAATAGTGTGATGAGTATGTTCCTACTATCCCAATTAACTACTTCTTACTATCATCACTTTCCTACTGAATTTAAACAGCAAAGCTCCACTGATGATCATTATTAGAAATGTATGCACACGACTTGTCAAAAGAGCGAGTGCTGCTGTAATTTTTAAAATTCTTAGTTCCAAACTAGATTATTGGTTGAATAATATCTTGCTGATAACTGCCTGAATCTTTCATTATTGTGGGAGTACTTATTGAAATCTCTTAACTTCGTTCTAGGGGGGTTCAACTGTGTTGCAATATTTTTCATGCGCTGCCATTTAGGCTTGTAATGGTGAAGCTGTTGTATCTCGCACTTTACTTTTTGCAGTGACATTAAAGAAATATCATCACAAGCATGCGCTGTTTATCTCCTTCATCATCGTCCTATCTTTTCCTTGGCTCCCTAATCACAAGCGCCAGTTGCTCTGTCATGGCACGCAATATCTCTGAATGCAATAACTCTGACGAGAAGTACAGAGAAAAAGAGAATGAAAATAAAAAGGGGGAGAATTTTTTTCTGAAAAAAAAAAAACAATATATTATTTACGAAGTGCATTGGGGTTGTTTGGTGTTCCTTGAGATCTCCCAAGTAATTGAACACTCATGCATGTAAATGAGTGCCAAGCTGTGTACAGTTATATACAATGTTTATTGGTCATAGCTGGTTTGTTGCATTTAGTTGTAAACTTCGTGTTCGTCATGTGTAAAGGAGAGACACCAGATGTGTGCCAAACATGGAGGCATGACAGCGGCACATGAGGAGAGGAGAGTCACCTGAGTACACACGCACCAGCCGCGTAAGCACAAGAGATTGGTTGGAGAAAGGGTCGTGGCACGCTAAAGCTGAGAAAAAAAGTTCCAGGGCAAGAGTTGACACTGTGCGTTGAGACGCTGAGCTGCAAAAACGTGGGAAATGAGCGTCGCTACTGCGACAGGAACAGCATCACCGCCCGGTTCTGAGGATGTCAGCATGAGAAGCCCAGAGAGGAGCCGGCGACCTGTCCGAACTTGCCGCACCATCGCACAGTAGTTTCTGGTCGTCTTGCAGCTCTCCCATTTCAGGGCAGGATGGCAACAGCCCACACCAGTCAGCAAAGCGGACTTGCCATCAAGAGGGGAGGCTAAGCCCAGCCTAGCGGGGCCGAAGAAGATGATGAAGTCTGGAATGCCAGCAAGGACAAATACGGCGAGGCAATACCACTTCATCATAGCTCCGAGGGTGGCATATGAACAGTAAGAATGTTATCGGGAGAGCGCATGAGATCAGCCACCGAGACACCATTTTAGCTAGGGACAGTTCAGGCTTAAGACTAACTTGTCTTGGATTTGTATTAGTTCTGAATAGTCGATTATGATTTACATACTTGTTTAATTTTTGGGGAGTGAACTCTGAGTGCCAGATTACTGTTTTCAGTTTTGTTTCATGTGATAAAGTGTGTTTGTTTTGCCACATGTTCATCTCCCGTCATCTCTCTCTCAATCCAACCATTCGCAAGTGCTCCCGAGGTAAAGTTCGTGACAGTGTTCTTGTCTTTATTACTGCTTTTTGGTATCGAATCTAGCCTGAAGTCGGCAAAGACAAGGTCTGGGCACGTTTTCTTGGTAGTTGTTGGCTGTTTTCAATCATACTGAATGCATCGTAGAGCATATTGAGACGTCATCTACTGCACAAGCCAGTCATTGTCCGTCATCAGTGTCAACGACATGGCATATAGTGGGTACCTTGCATGTGCTGTATCTTGATGGCAGAAAGAGAATGTGTGGTCTGGAGCAGACTTGTGCTTCATCGTCAGCGGCAGCTACAGCACACAACGCCAATGCCATTGGATAAGTCTCGAATATAAAAGCTTCTGTCATGAGTAAGAGGGCACGAGGCACATGTTGGGCACTGGAATACAGTGCTCATGCCAGAGACCTTTGATGGTGCACGGGCACATCATTTTCACGTACGAGATTGGTCGGAGACAAGCTCGTGCCATGGGGCCCGAGCCATATTGGAAAATCTTGAAAGATGAGCTGTCACTGTGCTGTGGGGTTCCGAGCTGCAAAGAAGTGGAAAACCAGCATCCCTACAGTGACAGGAGAAACATAGCCACCCGATTCTGAAAGATGTCGGCGTGAGAGGCTAGGGAAGTAGCTGTCGACCTCAGAGATTTTCCTGAGTGAGGCTGCCCGGACTTGCCGTATCCTTGCACAGCAGTTCCCTTTGAACTTGCAGCTAGCCCATTTCATGCCGCGATGGTAGCAGCCAACACCAGTCAACAGAGTGGACCCCTGAGCAAGGGACACCATGATGGAATAAGCCTAGCCAAGCGAGAAGACTGTGAAGGAGACCGGAACCCTTGTAATGATGAGAAACGGCACACTGGGCAAAAACTATCAAGGATGATTGTAGAAGCTTAAAAAGAACAGAGACGACAGATTCGACGAACTGTCAACACGGCAAGGGCACTGATTTGATTTGATTGATATATAGGGTTTAACGTTCCAGAATCACCATATAATTATGAGAGATGCCGTAGTAGAGGGCTCAAGCAATTTTGACAACCTCGGGTTCCTTAACATGCACCTAAATCTGAGCACACCGGCCGTCAGCATTTTCGCCTCCCTGGAAAATGCAGCTGCCACCGCGGCTGGGATAAGATCCTGCGACCACCAGCGGGTCAGCAGCCGAGTATTTAAGGCACTAGACCACCCCGGCGGGGCGGCAAAGGCACAAATCCTATGTGACAACAGGATGAACTACAAGAATGTTTTGTTACTGAAATGATATTTTGGCTAGAAAGAGATTAGGGATAAGGATTGAACTTGACTCGATTGGAAGTTCCAGTTTCGTTGTATAGCCCGTCAGTGTGTGTGTTCCTTTTTTGGGTTTATTCCGGCTGCGGCGGCTGCATTTCTGATGGAGGCGGAAATGTTGTAGGCCCGTGTACTCAGATTTGGGTGCACGTTACCGGAGCCCTCCACTACGGCGTCTCTCATAATCATATGGTGGTTTTGGGACGTTAAACCCCACATATCAAATCAATCTTTTTTTGGGTTTTAAGGAGTTCTTCAGATTTTCGCCATATTGTGTGGTATTAAAATGTGTTTTCCATGTTACCACTGACTTGCGTCTCTCTCTCAATCCAACCTTTCACAAGCACTCCCGAGGTAAATCGTGACAGTTTCGCCTCTAACGATTTTCTTAGCGAGGTGAAATTTGAACATACCATCCAAAGACGAGCAGCAAGTGTGGGAAAGAAAGGAGTGTTAAACACATCATAAAAAGAAAGAAAAAATATGGGCTGAGAAAGAATTTAAAAAAATGTATACTTACGAGAGAAAACGAGAAAGAAATTGGGAAGTGAGGGGGTATGCCATTGGCTCTGCTGCTGCCTCAGCTTTTGCACCGATAGTCGATACGACCGACTGAGAACTTTTGCCTTCGAGTTGCCTCAGGTGAATGCATAAAGGACCGTGTAAATGTTCACTCCTGAATGTTGGTGTTCATCAAGTTGACTGTTCATTCATGTTACACGAGTAATGACTTGAAACAATATTTTTATTAGGAATAGGAACCACATCTGTGACGGGAAAAAAAAATGTCATGACACATTATTTGTGCTCTGCCCACAGTGTCATCTCTCCTGGTTTTGTGTGCTTTTAGTTTCTAATTTAATGGTAGCAGGCTATGTGCGTTTAAGTGCAATGTAGCTTTCAAATATCATGCTGAAATTGTGTGCACTGACGTAAAAGTGTTATAATAAGTGAACTCGTCTTGTTACTAGCAAACAATTGTATTTTGCTCAGTTCTGATTAGCTTGAGTGACTGAAGGAAAGATGCGATTTGAAAAATGCAAGTTCTTTTTCAAAACTTTTTTTTTATCTTTTTATTTGCTTTCTCTCATTTATCAGTATCATTTCTCTACTTTCATGACAAAAAAAAATCAAAGTGCCTGTTAAACTGAAATTAAGCTGAAATCACCTTTGAAGAGCGTAAAGTATCTATAAAAAAAAACCAAGAGCTGATTGTCGACAGTCTCCTGAAAAATGTCCCCATTCTGCTTGCCATTGCATTTTGCATGAGGAGTTCACCAAAACTACATGCCGCTAAAAATAACCATCATTCTTAAGCTCTCATGATGGAAGAAATTGTTTCAGAAAGCGTATTGTTGCCACAGAAATGAGCTTTCATTTCTACATTTAAAATACATTTTATTGGAATTACTTAGATCTAACAGACAATCATGCCAAGGAAAGTATAGGGAGCTTTCCTTCTTAGGGGTTTGATTGAATGTATCATACATACTTTCTTGATAGTTATTTGCATTGCAATTTACAGTTAGTGTGGGGAATAGGAATTATTAAGGACTCATAAAAGGACTCATAATTATAAAGGTTTAGTAGTAGGAAAAGTGTATTGAGAAAGAGCGATATTTTACACATTGTCATGGTACAAGATGAAAGCTATGCAGCGCGCTGTAAAACTGATTACATATTTTGCAATCAGCATGAAAACTTACGTAAACATCAAAAAGTTCATTTTTTTAGGCTACAGGTAAAAGAAACTTTTTTTTGGAATTGCACCTCTCCTCAGTATCACAATTAAGAGGTGATTGTTCTTCCCACCTGATGCAGACGCTAACGAACAGCCGGCTGTTTGACGCTGATGCTACTCCAGCAGTTGTGGTGACCCTGGAGAACACACGCATCTCTGCTTGCTCTTGTGGCTCCCTTGTGAGCAAGGCCCGATTCACAGGTATGTAGGCCTTAATGCACGTTGGCGACCAGTGTTTAGCTGTGGCTTGGCACCAGTGCTACCTTATTGTTTATTTAACTTAGCCACCCATGTTTTCCACTAAGTTCCTTGAACGCATAGCTTAAATGCCATTGCATGCCACAAAAACACCACAGCACACAGGTTACTGCACCCCTGTCTGTTGTTGTTTGCCATGTTTTCCATTCCTTGACATCAGCGGGCATTATGCCTGAAAATTTTTGTGAGACACTATTGGTCAGGTATCACAAATTTCACCATAACTAGGTCTTATAACATAACTCAGGTGTTGAGAGTTTGCTTATACACAGAACATCCAAATAATTACAAGTGCAGACAGCTTCGAAAAATTTAGTAGGTAACTGAAATAGAAAGTTGTGTTTTTCCTTAAAGCCTCTTACAGCAGGGCACTCAGCAAGTATTCTTTCATTTGCGGTAGAGAGCACCAGGTAAGGTATTATTTTTAGATCTGCTGCCTCCGCCTGGTTGACAACGAAAACACAACATAGCACAAAATGCACTGCTTGTTGATCGACAAAAGTGCTTGCATCTCAATGACTGTTGTACTACGCAGGAATTGAAAAAAAAAAAAAAAGCCGGCTTGTGCAAATATTCAAACAAATGATGAGGTATTAAAATTTTCTTTGATTTGAATGGCATAATAGAAGTTTCAAAGTATTAGAAATAAATGAATAGGTGTCTAATAAGGGCTGAGCAAAGATACATTAAAATTGTATCGCCATACACTACAAGATATTCTGGCAAGAAGTATTAGAGATGCAGATACAAGGTACTTCCAGAATGAATGTATTCAATATGATACTTCTCAATTGTATGTTAAGATATTTCAATACTTTTTCTGTTAGATCTATATAAGGGAACAGCAAATGCTTATGTATAGAAATGTTTACAGTCAAACTCGTTTATAATGAACTCATAAGTGCCGTGATAAGTGGTCGTTATATCAGTAGTTCATTGTATATTGTCGCGGGTTATGAATTACAGAGGGTTTATTTAAAAACGCAGACAGTGGAATTTGTAGAGACGCTCTCAAAAGAAGGCCGCTAAGATTGTCGTCTTCTCCACTTGCCTGTGCTGCGCCTCTCGAGCAAATCCACGTTCTTCGTTGTCGTCACTATCTCGCCGCTAAACGGAGGTATGCACGCAGCGTTACCCTCCCGCCAAAGTGAGCGTCGTCCCGATGCTCAACAGGTAGAGATGCGGCCAGCGGGTGTTTACATCACTCAGAGTGGCAAAGTATCATGCGGACCACGTGCACTGCCTCAGGCAGATGCTGGCGATGTTTCGAACAGGAGAAGGTGTCGGGCACTACTTCGAACGACACGTCACTAAGAGGGCGCAAAAAATTGTAGGGTCCAAAGTATAGGCATAGGAGTTTCTCCGAGAGGCCTCACTGTCGTACAGGAAACCAAACCCAGACTTTATCTCCTGGTTGATAAGTGACGAATTAATAGAGAGTTTTAGTACTGCGTACGCTGCGTACGTGGCGGCGTTGCGTATGTAAGGACGCCACATCTGCGCAGTGCGCACGCGCAGACCGCAACGCGCACGTATCGCGTTACGTACGCAGCCGCTACGTACACACGCATGAGATGCGTGCGTGCGTACGTATGAGCTGATCGCGCTGCTCTCGAACAAGTTCGTGACAGCGCGAAACTTCGTTTTGCAAAATGGCGGCATCGAAGGCAAGCACCACGGAGGAAGGAAAAAGGTAAGGAGAGGGCATGCCCAGCCGGCGCAGGGCGTAAAAAATGTGGCGGAAATGACATCATGGCGGCCATATTCAGTAGGCACAATGGCGGCGTTGTTATGGTTACGTGTTGCGCAGTGAAGCTGGTCTAGCAGTGAGCAGCCGCGGCTGGCGGCGGAATGTGTGCCTCCCCAGGTCTCGTGCTGAGCCGTGGCGGACGATATCTGTGCTCTGCGCCGCGTTATTGGTTACGCAGTGTTCGTCTGGCTGTTACATTACTCTTAGCAACGTTTACGAATCTCTTTGTCCATCACAGGGCTTCAACAGTGCGTAGAACAAGTGCATATCCATGTGTCGTGCGGCGGATGACGCGGATGAAGCAGTTAGCGAAATGGCGTTGAGCACCATGACGAAGCTGAATGACGACGAACGCCTTGCAGGTCAGTGACGGTTGAGCAGTGCTCCTGCTTGTGACAACGGACGACGCTGTTGAGCCCAGCAAGACGCCGTGAGGACCATGTGCACATACGTATTTTCGTGTTGTGTGTGTACAGTAACAACTTGCATGTGCGTATTACAACACCTTTTCTGTTCCGCTTGGTACACTCTCCACCAGCATTGCATGTAATCTCAACGTAACAGCAACCACGTTCACCTGTCACTAGCACCGTGCTCAAAGTCACCACGGTCGCAGAATGCTGACGCAGGTGAGTTTCACGCGGAACACGGACACAGTGGCAGGACGCTACGTCAGTCGCATGGCGGAATGCAACCGTAGAAGGCGCACGACCGATCGTGTTGTCTGTACAGTTGCTGAATTAATGACGTGAAAGCACTCGCCGTTGTCAGTGCATCTAGCGCGCGTTCTTTCGTAGTTGCTTCGTTGTCAGCGAGCTGTTACTCTTTGTTATTACTCGGACGAAGCGATTTCGCTGAAGGTGTCCCGCTGGCTCTGAGTGATGAGCCCAGTTCCATTAGTTTCGGATCGTCACGACACACGCAGTGCACAGCCCACGTGCTTTCCGAGCCGGAGAGGGAGTCGCGCCTTCTGCTTCGCATTCATATGTAAACAAGAGAGGAGAATTTGCCTACTCAATATGGCCGACTTCCGGCTTCATCGCGGCTTCACAACGAGTGACGTTAGGGCCTCTCCTTACCTTTTCCTTCCTCCATGGCAAGCACCGACCGGCTCTGTGGCTTAAAATATGGCCATGATCTGGCTATAACACTTGGATTGGCTCACATTGACTGTCAACAACACGTGCTTCGATTTTGATCTACCAGATGGCGCAACACGCTTCACGCTCGCTACGTACGCGCGTACTACGGCGTACTAAAAGCCGATTAGTGGCAAACGTCGCCACGTAACGCAAGGCGCTTGCGTGATGCGTACATAGCACCATTCCGCAGTACTAAAACTCTCTAATGGCGAAGGTTGTACCGTTGGGCGTCAAGTAGCTGCTGGTTCATTATTCTGACGCGGACAAGCTGCCTTTTCGGCGCGTTCAGTGAAGTCTGCGGTGTCTGTCTTTGAATCATTGCAATCGTAAGGCAGCATGGTGTCAAGCATTGTCGTAACTTCTCTGCCATGAATTAGTGCGAACGGCATCATTTTTGTTGTTTCCTGGCACGCCGTATTATACGCGAATGTGATATACGGCAATATTCGGTCCCAATTCTTGTGTTCCACGTCGACGTACATGCAAAGCATGCCAGCGATTGTCTTGTTGAGTTGCTCTGTAAGCCCATTCGTTTGTGGGTGGTAAGCTGTCGTCTTCCTATGCGCTGTGCCACTGAGCGTAAGCACAGTGCACAAAAGCTTGGCTGTAAACATGGTACCTTTGTCTGTTATGACGACAGCTGGAGCACCATGTCTCAGGACAATGTTCTCAATGAAGAACTGGGCCGCTTCAGCTGCAGTGCCACTCGCAATTGCCTTGGTCTCCGCGTATGGGGTGAGGTAGTCCGTCGCCACTATAACCCATTTGTTGCCGCTGTCCGATGTCGGGAATGGGCCCAGCTGATCCAGTCCAATTTGAGAAAACGGAGTTTCTGGCACGGGCACAGGATGTAATAGCCCAGCGGGTTTGACAGGTGGTACTTTGCGCCGCTGACAGTCAATGCATGTTCGGACGTAATGTTTCACCTCTGCTGCGATTTTTGGCCAGTAATATATTTTTTTTGACGCATGTCAGTGTTCTTGTGAAACCCAGGTGGCCCACAGTGGCTTCATCATGGCAGGCCTGTAAAATTTTGCTGCAGAGAGCTTCAGGAAGAACCAGCAGATAGCTTTTACCTGTAGATGAGAAATTTTTTTGTACAGAATTTTGTCCCGTAAACAGAATGACAAGTTCTTCGAAAACACTCTTGGTCATTGGCGACTTAATCATTCAAGAATTTTATAAGCGTGTTGAGCTTCCGATCATCTTGTTGTTGCCGAGAAATGACAGCCGCATCAACGGCTCCTAAAGAACCTGTGAATTCATCATCCTCTGTAGCCGGTGATTCAATCGGTGACCTTGACAAACAGTCGGCGTCTAAGCGTTGCCTTTCGGACTTGTAAACTACGGCCATGTCGTACTCTTGGAGCCGTAAGCTTCATTGGTGCTAAACGTTCAGATGGGTCTTTACAGGTTGGTCAACCAACAAAGAAAGTGATGGTCGCTTACAATTTGGAAAGTGCGGCCATATAAGTACAGGTGAAACTTCCCAACTGCCCAAACGACAGCCAGACACTCCTTCTTCGTTGTTGAGTAGTTGGACTCGGTGCGTGTCAATGTTCTGCTAGCGTAGACAACTACTCTCTCCACACCATCTTGGCATTGGACAAGAACCAAACCTAAGCCCACATTGCTGGCATCTGTATGAATGGCTGTTGGTGCATTCTTGTCGAAGTGAGCGAGGATGGGTGGAGTTTGTAGACGCTGCTACAGCTCGTTGAATGAAGCTTCTTGCTCTTCACCCCACACAAATGCAACGTCTTTCCTTGTAAGGTGGGTGAATGGAGAGGCGATGTGTGCAAAGCCTGCTATAAATTGCCGGTAGTAGGCGCAGAAGCTCAGAAAACGCCTGACCGCTTTCTTATCAACAAGCCTTGCGAACTTTGCGACGGCTGCAGTTTTATCTGGGTCAGGCTTCACACCTTTGCGACTGACCATGTGTCCCAGGAACTGGAGTTCTTCGAAGCGGAAGTGGCATTTTTCCGGTTTGAGTGAGAGTCCAGCGGACCGTATGGCTCGAAGGACTGACAGTAGCCACTTTAGATGTTCTT